GTCTTCTCGTTCGCGCGGTGTCTCGCGCCCCCGTCCCCCCCTTCCCCGTTTGAGCGAGTCTTCTCGTTTGCGCGGTCTCTTTCCCTCGCACGTTCTCGCTCGCGATCGCGTATCTTTTCTTCGCCAACGATATTTAATCATTCAGATCTTCGCAATATTTAATTTTTAATATTACATTTAAGTAAACGATAAACGAAGACAGCTTTATGACAGGAAATGGGATGAACGGTAAATGATAAGGAAAAACTTTTTAACCATATTATATGCATTTATTTATCATGTAGCGCATTATACACAATAGTATCCAAAGCGTAGGCTAATAATTCGCAATCAATAATCGAATTTTTATCATAAACGTCACGCAAGATTGTAACTGCGTTACATTTATCAGTGATACAATTTTGACGTAAAATTGTTACAAACTGTTTGAATTTTTCACTTACACCGTGAACATTTTGACATAGTTGAAAATACACATTCTCGACGCAATGTTCTAGTTCGAACAGGAAGAGTACAGTTGACGGTTTCATGTACAAGCTGGTGCCGCACGACGTCAATTTTACAATATCTGCGTCACGTATTTTAACAAGCTCCAGATCTCGAAACGTTAGCGATGATGGTGCCGATGACTGCACGATGCGCTGTATATCTGCACGTTTTTCGATGAATGTCACCCACGTTGCATGTAGCAGAATTATCCGATTGCCTCGGTTATCGCCAATAAGTATATCCACAGAGGACATAGGTCCCGCGTTGATTCCAACATCCAAAAATTTATACGTTGTTGATGTCAAGGCAAATCTTCTTCCCAAAATACGTGGCGTGTAGCGGGGTTTATCAAAACTGAAAAATACAATTATATGTTTATAAAAGTTTTTTTTGCACAAGTATATATGAAAATTAGCGGTACTTACTCATTGTGCTGTTTCCCACACGTTTCGTCCTGAATCGGAACGTAGTAGTTCGCACCGTGAGTGTTCATCGTATCTGAAGGCTGTTTGCGACGTACTCGAACCGTATCGAACTCTCGACTGCGCTCTAGAATCCTCATAGACCATTTATACATACCCAAAACTGCAAATCTTGCAAAAATAGCGCCAATGTACGGCTGCTGCATGGTGACCGCCACCACAATCCACATATACGTTAAATGTGATATCTTTGTCAAGAACATTCGTGATGAGATCACCTCATCGGGCATCAAATATGATTTCTTTTCAAGAGCATACGTGTCTCGCGATGATTTCATCGAACACGTGCAAAACTGCAAATTTTGCAATTTCGCATAAGTCAATGGAGCGTTATTGTTTTCAAGAACATGTCGCGACGTGTCTTGCGATGATTTTATCGAACACGTGCAAAACTGCAAAATTTGCAATTTCGCATAATTCAATGGAGCGTTATTGTTTTGAAGAACATGTCGCGACATGTCTCGCGATGATTTCATCAAACACGTGCAAAACTGCAAATAGCGCCGATGTACGGCCGCTGCATTGATACAGATCAAATCACCAAAAGTCAATGGCGCGTTTTCATGAACGTACGTGTCTCGCAATGATTTCATCGAACACGTGCAAAACTGCAAATTTTGCAAATAGCGCCGATGTACGGCTGCTGAGATAAAATTAGATATGATAAGCAAACGATGCATCATTAGTAGAATATAAAATGACGAATCTAGGGGATACGCTCAATAGTCGAGAACTGGAAGTCGTGAGTGCAACAAATGGCGTTAGCAAGAGGATCGTGCAATAACATGGAGCAGGAGTTGTTGGAGCAATCCACCCTGTTAAATTCGAGGGAAGACTTTGCCGCGTGGGAGCAACGATGCGACGAGTTTATCGCATCGTTGGAAGAACAAAGCCGAATTAAACGGCCACGATTATCAATCGATCAGTCATCGATCGGTCTCAAACAGTCATTGGTCGCTTGTATCGCAAGACTCGAAGGTTTGAAAGACGCGGTACGTCAACGTTTCGTACATGTGGGTGCGGGATACAGTGCGAGTGCGACAGGACTCAGATGGCGCGAGATAGATCCGGCTTTTGAAAGCCGTATATTGACTGGTGCGGTGATAAATTCCAAACACATCGACCCTCGTCAATTTCTTATAAATGCGAGAGAAATTGTACTCGATCGTGTGCAGAACGTCATGCAACGACATGACAATGTAAAAATTAACACAGTGTTTAATGGTGAATTTGTTGCGGGTGACAAACGCGCAAATAAAAGTATCGCAACGAGAAACTATGAACTCTTTCGTGAGTCCGATTTGCACGAGTGGTACAAGCAACACGTCATCGAGCCTACCTTAGCAAAGCTGGAGGAATTCCAGGAACGTGATAGCGGATGGGCGTTGTCGCGTATACTCAATTTAATGGTAAATGTGAACAAATACAATCCGTTGCACGCGGGGTGTTTTGTGGAAATACCGCGAGAAATTAAAAAGAAGAAGGCGGTGATAAACGTGCGATCAATAGACAATGCATGTTTCGCATGGTCAGTGACGGCTGCTCTACATCCAGCCGAGAGACATGCAGAACGGGAATCGTCGTATCCACATTACACGTCGGTGCTAGATCTTACGGACATTAAGTTTCCAATGACGTTGGATCAAATTAAAAAATTTGAAAATCACAACAACATCTCCATCAACGTGTACAGCATCGAGAAAAAAAACAAGGAACTTGCAATCTTGCCAATACGGGTTACTGACCGAAAGATGGACAAAAATGTAAATCTGCTGTACATGCATAACGACAACGTGGGACATTTTGCGTGGATCAAGAACCTATCCCGCCTCGTGAGCTCGCAAATCAACCGACACTATGGTCGGAAATACTTTTGCGATCGGTAAGTACCTATAGTTCTTTTAATAATATATAGAATATTTTGTGTATAAAAAATTTATAATATTTGCGTTAATTTTTTTTTTGCAGATGTTTGCACTACTTCAGCTCCAACGAGAAATTGGCTGCCCACACCGTCGACTGTCAGGAGATGAATGACTGCGCGATCAAGTTACCGAGCGATAACGACAAGTGGTTGGCCTTTAAAAATCACAACAGGAAAGAACGAGTTCCGTTTGTCGTATACGCCGACCTGGAGTGTACCCTGGAGAAGATGGAAGCGGATCCGGAAACGTCCAGGTACACATATCAACATCATCGCGTGTTTAGCATAGGGTACTACGTGCGTTGCTCGTACGACAAGTCGATAGATACATAGTTATCTATGTATCGGTTTCGTCACGATAAGGATTGCGTCGCGTGGTTCGCCGAGGAGCTAAGACGTTTAGCTCACGACGTAAAGACCATTTTACTAATGTACATTCCACTAATGTACCCATGGCAAATTTCACGCGAGACGAGTGGGAAAAGTTTAACAGCGCAACGCGCTGTCACGTGTGCGAAGAACCGTTCGAGCCAGACGACGTGCGAGTACGCGACCATTGTCACCTGACCGGTCGATACAGAGGTCCTGCGCATTCGAATTGTAACTTAAATTATAAAGATTCGCATTGCATTCCCATAGTGTTTCATAATTTATCGGGATACGATGCACATTTTATTATAACTGAAATAGCAACAGCATACGAAGGACATGTAGATTTACTCCCGATCACAAAAGAAAAATATATTTCGTTTACAAAAAACGTTCAAAGCACCGAAGATAAAGATAAGAAAACGTGCGTCAAATTGCGATTTATCGATTCGTACAAGTTTCTCACCGCTAGTCTTGACAAATTGGCATCTTATCTCAGCAAGGATAAACTGCGAATATTGCAACGCGAATTTTGTGAATTATCCGCAGAAAATTTTAATTTGCTGACACGAAAAGGCGTATTTCCATATGAATACATTGACTGCGTCGAAAAATTGGAGGACTTGTGTTTACCACCGCGCGACTCGTTTTACAGTTCATTGACAGGTGACACCGTATCCGAGAGCGATTACGCGCACGCCGTCGACGTCTGGCAGCGGTTCTCTATTCGAACGCTCGGTGATTACAGCGATTTATATCTCAAGACCGATGTCTTGCTGTTGGCCGATATCTTTGAAAATTTTCGCGATAGTTGCGTCGCGAGTTATGGACTCGATCCAGCGTATTATTATACTCTACCGGGTTTTACGTGGGATGCTATGTTGAAGCATACACACATCAATTTCGAATTGCTCACCGACATTGACATGGTCATGTTTATCGAACGCGGTATACGCGGCGGTTTGAGTCAATGTTCAAACAGATACGCGCTGGCCAACAACAAGTACATGCAGTCGTACGATCCATCGAAACCGTCGTCGTACCTCATGTATTTTGATGTAAATAACTTATACGGCTGGGCAATGAGTCAACCATTGCCATACGCAGATTTTAAATGGGTCGACGACGTAACCGATTTTAATGTTATGGATGTCGCGTTGAATTCCTCGATAGGCTACATTCTCGAAGTCGACTTGGAGTATCCGCAACATCTTCACGACGCGCACACTGACCTACCGTTCTGTCCGACGCGCGATAAACCACCCGGCAAGCGGCAGGACAAACTCCTCGCAACATTATACGATAAGAAACGTTATGTAATACATTATCGCAACCTGCAGCAGTGTACTCGTCACGGTCTCCGTATATCAAAAATTCACCGTATACTGAAATTCGCGCAATCTCCATGGCTTCGCGATTATATAAACCTCAATACGAAATTTAGAACATTGGCCAACAATGATTTCGAGAAAAATTTATACAAATTGATGAACAATGCCGTGTTTGGCAAAACCATGGAGAATGTGCGCAATCACGTTGACGTGCGACTCGTGACTCATTGGGAAGGTAGATACGGCGCGGAGGCTATGATTGCGAAACCAAATTTTCATAGCCGAAGCGTCTTTTCGGAGAATTTAGTAGCAATAGAAATGCGAAAACTCGAGGTGAAGTTCGACAAACCAATCTATGTGGGTATGTGCATCCTCGATATATCCAAGACATGTTTGTACGAATTTCATCACGAGTACATGTTACCGTTGTATCGCGACAAGTGTAAAGTCACGTACACCGATACTGACAGTCTCATTTATCACATCGAGTGCGACGATGTGTACGATATCATGAAGCGTCACATTTATAGATTTGACACTAGCGATTATGTGATTGATAATACGTATGGTATCCCACTCGTCAATAAAAAAGTTCCGGGCTTAATGAAAGACGAAAATAACGGTGCGATAATGACCGAATTCGTCGGGCTTAGAGCAAAGATGTACGCCTTGCGAGTGGACGGTAAGAAAGATACAAAAAAAGCTAAAGGTGTTAAGAGTAACGTCGTAGCCAGGTCGATAACGTTCGACGATTACACGCGGTGTCTGCGCGACGAAATTGAAATGACGCGACAGCAAACCTGCATAAGATCCAAAAA